TTCAGTCATTACATATTTATTGAGCATCTGTTGTCTCCAGTCACCATTCCGAAGTGCTGTGACCACAGTAGTGAATGATGTAGGCAAGGTGTTAGCAGACAGGTAGTGTACATTTTAATGAGGGAGACGTACAGTAAATAGTGCTAGGAAGTAAAGCATAATGACAGAATAGCCAGTGACTGGGAGGTTCCTTTACCTTGGATGGTCAGACAAGATTTCTTTGCCATAGCAGAATTTAAGACTTGGTTGACTTTCAAGAAAGAGTCAACAGGAAAGAACTGGAGAAAATATTCCAGGATGAGTGAACAACTAGCGCAAGACCTTAAGGCCTTTATTATATAATATGTAGTAAATAGTGTAGAATAAAAGGAAGAGTGTGCTAAGTTGCCCTAGGACAGGAGGCTGTGGGAATTCCGAGGTGCAAAAACACATGTGAAAGTGGAGACAGGGTATTCATGAAAAAATTGAAATGAACCTCAAGTTTCAGTAGGTTTTCATCAAATGGACATATGAGTCAAGGTCAAGGAATACAACCAAGTTCTAGACATCTGCTGTATAACATAATGCCTATAATTAACATCATAGTGCTGTACACTTAAAAATTTGTTAAAAGAATAGATCTCATGATAAGCTCTCTTACCACAAAAATAAAGAGAGTCAAAAACCAAATCTTTCGGATGTAATAGGTATGTTATTACCTTGATTGTGGTGATGCTATCATGGGTACATGCAGATGTTCAAACTTATCAAAATGTATACATCAAATATGAGCAGTTTTTGTTTATTAAGTATACCACAATAAAGCTGGAAACAAGAAAATGAAAAGCATAAACTAAGAATTTCTAATAAACAGTCGTAATCTTACATCACTTTAGTGAGATTTAATACTCACCAATGCAAAATACAAGAGTTACCCGAGGAAGTCTTTGGTGGACTTTTTCCAAAATATCATGGAAGAAAACATGGTCACTTATTTCAGAATCTCAGATCAAGTAATTTTCTCTAATATCCAAGATATTAATAATTTCAAGAAAGAAATTTAATTTTAATTTTTAAAACTCAGAATTGTATCCTCTTTTCCCCCACCCCGAGAGATTGATTTTTTCATACTCGTTTCACAGTCTATCTGAGAAACAAAGATACATTTTCATGACCTGAAACTTTGAAATATGTGAGTGAACCCAGGCAACTACAACACAATATGATGTCTATTTGATGTAGTTTGTTAAAATGAATATTTAAAGTATTAAAATATGTAAATTACTTTCATATTTTCTAATTAGAGATGATTCAAGATCATTTCTTTAGATAATATCAGACTCATTCACTTTCATTCATATATGCTTTCTAAAAGGGTCAAAAAAAGTAGGCTTTTCAAGATTTGGTGCCATATAATCTAACCAAAATATCATACTCACATATAGTTCACTGAATGTTTTTGAAATTTAGCTTAATTTTGCATAAAAACACAATGTAAAAGTGTGCAGACACAACTTCTGAATATTGCATGAAAATAGTCTATATACTGATAGGAGTTGAAGGAGGAGACATAAGACCCTTTGTATATCTCTTTACTTTGACTAGATTAAGGATGATTGAGAAAACACTTTTTAAATTACTAACTTCTCTGCACACTTATCTATCAATCTAACCACCAGCAAAATCAAGTACCTACAGTGAAGGTGAACCATGAGTGGTCTGCTAATCTGGGCTCCGTGTCAACAAGGCCCTCTCCAGCATGGAAGCCTCAGAGGATATTTAACATAATTTCAAGAAAATATAGCATATTAAATGCTTCCTCAGTCCCCCTAAACTCTCTTGTTGATCAGATCTAATTACAAATTGCCCCATATGGTTTACAAATATCTGATTATTTTGAATTATCAATTTTAATTATTTGTGTTTTAGAAGTAAGTACTAACCAGGAAGAAGAAACAAAAAGAAAGAAATTGCAAAGTAAGTGTATGTTTCATTTCTCAAGAAAGTAATGCTGGACGTTACCATTAATGTTCCTTTTAAATATAGCAATCTTCATTAAAAGGAAAAAACTATATTAAGTAATTAATACATACTGTTCCAAAATAAAACTTTCAAAAATTGAAATATTTACTATGATTTCCCATTTGTTTGTTTTTAGAGACAGAACAGTTTGCCTGGCTCTCTCTGCACAGAAGGTGATGTCTCACACAATGTCCTTGCTGAGTTCAATAAATCTGACACTTGTCCTGCTGAGCTGATGTAATCCACATCACACCTCACTTCAATTTGTCTGAATTCTTTTGATCACGATTGCCATATATCCTGATGCTTTTATTCATAACTAAGAAAATATTTTGGATGCTGCCTTCAGCTTTCTTCCAAAATGTCAAAAGCTGACACATTTTAATTCAGTAGCCAACCCCTCATAGCTTAATCATTGCACGTACATTCTGATATTTCTTTTATATATTTTTAAGTTGTTAATAGTTTTCTACATTTTCAAAAGGGATATTTTTATTCCTGTAACCAAATTGCCTGTCTTTCACTATGCTGGAAGTTGTTATTCATCCTCTGATAAAGCAAGGAGGTTCAAAGCTAAGGAAAGCCAGCCTAGCACTTTGATTACATCATACTGACATTTGAGATGCATTACTGCAAAATGAGGCTTTAAAAGATCCAGATATGTCAGATAAAATCATAGGAAAAAGTCAGTCTACAACTATTCTGTTCAGGCCACAGTGTTTTTTTCCCTAACTTTATCTTTAATCTTTTAGATAGATATAGGACCATGACATTCGGTAAGTTTCCCAGCTCTTGCTATTGGGAGAAAGATGTCTTCATAAATCTCTTCCAGAAGAACGCGGCAGTTTAAACTGTTAGGGCTAGAAACTGTGTAATGTAACTGTAGGAATACTTCTTCAGCTAGTGATTCCTTGCATGACCTTTCTCATCCTCATCCATTTTTACTTGTGGAGTGAATGAAGACTAAACTTATCTTGTCTGTTCTTACATGAGATGGACTAGCAGAATAATGTGAGAGGAACAGCAGGCTACAGTGCTGTAAGTGCTTACTAAAAAGGAGAATGTAATAAAAACCCTAGTGAGAACAAGGAGAACTTAAACAGTCTCCAAAAAAAGGTGATAAAAATGTGGCTAATTGTGTTATGTTTCAACTGAGTATAATGTATATGACTATCTTATTGAGACAGAACTGAGTCTCCTTTGATATGACTATATCATGGTGGACATCTTCAATCTTAGCTTATAGAAGTTTTCATCAAGCATACAAAATTATTGTTTCTACTTCAGAAATCATGTTTCAGGAAAACAAATAAGTTAGATCTAGACACATCCTAAGAAATTTCAAGAAGAGTTAACTAACTTCCTTAGTTCTAATTTACATATATTGTCAGTCTTATACCTTGTATAATGAGCAAATAAAGCTATACATGGTGATTTTCTGTCCTAGCTTTTACAGAATTGCTTTTTTAAATTATCAGTATAAGATCCTAGGCCAGGACAACTTCCAAAATGTTTTTACTCACTTCAAAAATAAAATTGGGTGGGGGGGTGGGTATAGCTCAGTGATCCTGAGTTCAATCCCAATACCTTCATTAAAAAAATAATAAAATAAAATAAAATTGAATAGAGCACATACTGGACACTGAAATACATTTAAGTATTTAATTAATTAATTTTTTATGGTGTAAAATTTTGTATGGTGTAAAATAAGACTTTAGCTCTGCATGTGGATATCTAGTTTTCCCAACACCATTTATTGAACAGATTGTCTTTTCTCCATTGTGTGTTCTTGGTGCCCTTTTCAAAGATTAGTTGACAGTATATGGGTAGGTTTATTTTAGGGCTCTCTATTCTGTTCGTTTGGTCTGTATATCTATTGGTATGCTAGTGCCATACTGCTTTGATTACTATAGCTTTGTAATACAATTTGAAATTAGGAAGTATGATGCCTCAAGCTTTGTTCTTCTTTCACAAGATTGCTAAATAAAAGAGGCAGGAACACTTCCAAATTCATTTTATGAGGCCAACATTATGCAGATACCAAAGTCAGATAAGGACACTACAAGAAACAACAAAAGAGAAAAAAAATTACAGTTCAATATCCCTAATGAATATAGATGCAAAAATCCTCAATAAAATACTAGCAAACCAAATTAAATAGCACATTAAAAGAAAATCATATACCATGATTCAGTGAGATTTATCCCTGGGATGCAAGGATGGCTCAACATATGCAAATCAATAAATGTGATCAACATATTAACATAATGAAAGGTAAATATCATATGATCATCTCAATAGATGCAGAAAAAGCACTGACAAAGTCAACCTCATTTCATGATAAAAGCTCTCAACAAATTAGGTATGGAATATACCTTAACATAATAAAGGTTATATATTATAAGACACAGATAATATCATACTTGATAGTGAAAATCTGAAAATGGAAATAGGAATAGAAAATGATATGAGTATGGAGATGTAAGGAGGGAGTGTTGTGTCCTGAAGACAGTGATAAGTAATCTGCAATTAAATTTAAGTTTAATGGGTTGCTGCTGAAGGCTAGTAAGCATGATGTTATTAATGTTTTTAGAAGATCCCTCTTTCCCTGTTCTGTGGAGGTGCAAAAGTAGAAGCAAGAAGACCATTTAGTAAGTGATTCTACTTGATTAGATGCGAGAGAACCCTGGCTGTGGGCTAAGGTTGGTAAATGTAAAAATAAATAGAACTTGCCAGAAAGAGAAAGAAAAATACCATATATCACTCATATGTGGGAGGAGGAGGAGAAGGGGGAGGGAGAGAAGGAGGAGGAGGAGGAAGAGGAGGAGGAGGAGGAGAAAAACAAAAAAGGACACTATAAACTCATCTACAAAACAGAAACAGACTCACAGACATAATAAACAATCTTATGGTTACTGGGGAAAGGGGGTGGGAAGGGATAAATTTGGGACTTTGACAGTAACAAATGTTAGCCACAATATATAAAAACAGATTTTTAAAAAAGTTTTTGCTGTATAGCACAAGGAACTATGTTTAATATCTTGTAATAACCTTTAATGAAAAAGAATATGAAAACAAATATATGTATGTATATGCATGACTGGGACATATGCTGCACACAAGAAATTGACCCATTGTAGCTGATAGTACTTCCATTAAAAAAAAAAAAACTGAACTGGAAAAATTCAAGTTGGCAGAGATACCCAGAAAATTTTCTGGATTTATACGGGAGATAAGACAAAGGAGAAATCAAGAAGATGCCTACATTTTTGTCTGTAGCTAAAATGTGATGGCGATAGTAATTTCATTTACAAAGGGAGACAGCCTGGTGCATTTGCATTTGTGTGTGTGTGTGTGTGTATGTGCGCGTGCGTGTGTGCACACGTGCACGTAGCTAGTAGTCAGCTGAAGAGTCTGGAGCTCAAAAAGGAGATGAAAATTTGGCAGATATCAGCACAAAGTCATAGACGTAAAGGTGCTTATTTAAGATAGAAAAAATTGATTATAAAGAAAAGGACACAGGTGCTGCAACATTTAAAATATTCAAAAAATGTAAAAAAATAAAATATTCATAGAAAGGGAAGATCTCATAAGGGTTTTAAAAAAAATAGAACCTAGTGAGATAGATAAAAAATGGAAGCATGTAAGACTATGGAAGCTTATAAAAAATATTTCAAAAATGAGCAAAGTGCAGCTTAAAAAAATGAACTACACATGGAAAACAGGCTACCATGATGCAGATTCAATTAAAAATAAAGAAAATTAGACCTGAAAAGGATCTTGGATAGTGGAATTTTAAGACCAAAAACAAATAACTATAGTTAACATGGTTAGTAAAAGAAACTACCCTTGAAATGAAATTAGAAATCACTAACAATAAAATATCTTGGAACACCAAGTATCTGAAAACTGAATCATGCACTTATGAATAAATCATGGGTCAAAACAGAAATCACAAGGAAAATTAGAAAATATACTAACCAAATGATAATGAAAACACAACATATTAAAAAATTGAAATGATAAAAGGAGAAATAAGCCATCTTGAACATCAGAAATGGAAGAAACAATGGAAAGGGGAAAATACAGTTAGATAAAAGGTTTTTATTTTAGTCTTGAGTTTCTAAACTGTGTTTAATGATGAATCAAAATTTATAACATTGTTTATGTGGTTCTTAATATATATGGGGAAAATATCTAAGATAATTACAAATAATGACGGTAAAGAGGAAATATAGGTTTTGCATTTCACTTGAACTTGTGAAATGTCAACACCAGTAGATTGTGATAAGTTATATATATACAACATAATATAATACCTAAAAAATGAAACACTAAGAGAGCTATGCAAAGAGATATGCTTCTTAGAATAGCCAAATTCATAGAAAATAGAATCATCATTTCCAGGGGCTGGGGAAAAGGGGAGAAGGGGGTTTACTATTCAATGGGTACTAAATTAAATGTTGGAAAGAGGAAAATTTTCTGGAGATGTATGATGTTGATAATTGCACTCTTAACAAAGTAAATATTATTACTACCACTGAACTGTATAATTAAAAATGGTTGAAACAGTAAATTTCATTGTATAATTTTTATAACAATTAACGAATATAAATATATGTATACTACAGAGATATGCTGAAAATTGCTATAGATAAATCAAAACAATTAAAAAAGTTGTTCAAGTAATCCACAGGAAGGCAGAAAAAGAAAAGAGGAAAATGAAAAAACAGAGAGCAAATAGAAAACAAAAAAATACAATGGTAGATTTAAGCCCTAATGTACCAATAATAAACAAAAACCATGATCCATGAAAGAAAAAAATAATAGATTATTGGACTTATTAAAATTAAAAACCTCTGCTCTGTTAAAGACACTGTTTAGAGACTGAAAATACAAGCCACAGACTGGAAGAAAATATATGCAAAATACACATTTGATTAAGGAATTTCGTCCAAAATATACAAAGAACCCTTAAAATTCAACAATTAAAAAAAGAAACAACCCAACTGAAAAATGGGCAAAACATGCAGATGGAAATTAAGTCTATGAAAAGATGTTCAACATCACTTGTCGCTAAGGAAATATGTATTAAAATGGCGATGCAAAATCACATGGACACTTTGGAAAAAAATGACAGTTTGGAAGTGATAGGGCTCCCAAAATGACATAGTGATTGTTTCGAATTAAAGTTACTTGAGAAATAGCTGGTGCAAGAAGAACACTCTGACTCCCCTCTGAAAGCAGGAAATAAATCTCCCATGTGAAAGGCACCCTCCCTGCATTAAGAAGCAGAGACATCCTTAAGACCAGAGGTAGGGAATTCCAAGTCAAGAACACTGTATAAACAAATTCTGCTTAGATTTTCCACTAATTAGTACTCAAGCCCAAGTTTCTTTGTTTCATCAGTTCTGACAAACACATTATTTCTTTGTCTAAAAGGTATAAAAGCAGCCTGCTTTGGTCACTTCTTAGCACTCATTATCTATGAGACTTACATAATTCTGAAATTAAAATTTGTTTTCTTCTTCTGTTTGTCTGTCTTGTATCAGTTTAATTATTAGATCAGCCAGAAGAACCTAGAAGGGAAGAGGGAAATCCCCGTCCCTGACAGAAGTTTCTTACAAAGCTAAACATAGTCTAGGTATTTACCCAACAGATTCGAAAATACTGTCCGCACAAAATATTTGTAGCAGCTTTATTCATAATTGCCAAAAGCTGGAGGCAATCAAGATTCTCTTGAAAAAGTAAATAAACAAGCTGTAGTGTATCTACAGATGGAATATTATTCAGTGATCAAAAGGAATGATCTATTAAGCCATGCAAGAATATAGCTCACTCTTAAATGCATATTGCTTAGTAAAGGAAATCAATCTGGAAAGGCAATGTAACATATGGTCTCAACTATAGGACATTCTGGCAAAAGCAAAACTAAGATAGTAAAGAAATGAGTGGTTGCTAGGGATTCAAGGGGCAGTGAAGAGCTGAAAAGTGAAGCACAGGGAATTTTTTTAAGGTGATGAAACTATTCTGTATGATTCTATAATGATGTTTACATAACAGTATATTTTGTCAAAATCCATAGAAATTTATAATACAACACATGAACCTTAATATATGCAATCTTAAGAGTCATTTAAAAGTTTGGGGAACCCAAGATAAAGTGAAGACTATGATTAAAAAATATACCTGCATTTAAATTCATGAAATAGCCTCACTGAAGAGAATGGGGAAAGATTCTGCTTTGAAAACAAGTGGAATCTACAAGCACTATACTTTAGTTTATAAAGTTTTCTCCCATAATGGTACAAGTTAACAATTCTAAACCTATCTGCATGTACAATGAAATTGAACAGTTAATTTTAATGTGGATGGTGGGAGCCAGATGTCTCACTGTTGGAACATGTGGGAGGTTACAGATAAACAAGAGTATGAAGCCTTCTAGTAATTGGTTAGAGATGAGGCATCAATATGAACACATACTTAGCTAAATATAGAAACAGATGGCTACAGATAGTAACTTTTATACCTAAGTGGATATACATAGGCTAGTATACATCTTGCTCTGCTAGTTGAGAGGACCTAGAATCATGACATCCCAGTAGCAATGTGAACACCTAGCACCTAGATCATGGTTTCTGGTATCATTTCTAATGCATTTTCCAATGAAAGAAACTAGGCCTCCTTGCTGCTTCTAGGACTGGGGAAGAAAATACATAAGCTGAGTTTGGAGCTCTTGCAGTTCAAAAAATAAGCACTTAAAAAAAAAACAGTGATGGCACTGTGACAAACAGATACAGGGGGCAACTGAAAGATGTTCTAATAATCAATACTGAAACAACTTGAACAACAAAATAAAGTAGTACTGGTTTATAACCAAAATTATGAAATAAGTATCCATGAGTCCATACTGACATACATATACATATGCATGCATACAAATGGCAGAAAACAGATCAATCATCTGTGCAGAAGAATTCTAAACAATTTATGTAAAAGCTCCATTCTGTAGTAGATGAACTATAACCCCCACTCTTTCTTTATGTGTGTGTTTGTTGCACATGGTGAATTCATTCCAAAGGACTATATAAAAAGGAGGAAAAAAAGAATGACTTTAAAATGCATTAACCAGATATTCACTGGTTTAGACAATGATCAAGATCAACATCAAAGTGACAAATCAGGTTGTCAGTATACCTATGATATTCTGTGGTGAGCATGATAGTCTATGCCACTTTTTTTAAGTCTGTGGTCTTCCTCTCAAAAACCCATAACTCCAGTCTAATCATGACAAACATATCAGACAAATACCATTAACAGACATTCTTCAAAATATCTGACAGGTACTCCTCAAAACTATCAAGGTCATCAAAAACAAGGAAAGTTCAAGAAACTGTCACAGCCAAGAGGAATCAGAGGAGACAAGATGACTAGTTGTAAGACAAGATAAGAACGGGATCCCTGGGACAGGAAAAGGTCATTACGTATAAACTAAGAAAATCTGAATAATCTATGGACTTTAGTGTATGCATCAATATTGGTTCATTAAAACCAATGGATTTTAAAAATCTATGGAATTTTTCTCAGGAGAAAGAAAAAAGAAAGCAAGGGAAGAAGGGAGAAAGGGAGAAAGAAAGAAATATAATGACCTAATGATACATGCAACAACTTAGATGGATCTCCAGAGAATTATGCTGAGTAAAAAGCCAATTCCCAAATGTTATATACTGTATGATTACACTTATATAACACTGTTGAAATGACAAAATTATAAAATAGGGAATATATTAGTATTTGTCAGAGTTTAAGGAAGGGGTGGGAAAGGTGAGGCAGGAGGGAAGTGGGTGTGATTATTAAAGGGCAACATAAGAATCACTGAGGTAGTGGAAATTTCTGTATTTTGAGGGTATCAGTGTTTATATCATTATTGTAATACTTTACCTAACTATAGTTTTATAAGATGTTACCACTGAGGAAACCTGAGTGAAGGTACATAGAATATCTTCATATTAATTCTTTTTTGGTTGACTTTTTTAGCTTTATTGAGGTATAATTAATAAATAAAATTGCACTTATTTAAAGTGTATAGTGTCATGATTTGATATATGCACACATTATGGCATATTTGCATAATCAACGTATCCATCACCTCACATAGTTACCTTTTGTGTTTGT